TTGTACTTCACCTCGAAGTTATACTCGGCAAAGAAGGAAAGCCATCTTGCCATTCTCTGAGAGAGATGAGGCGACTGTGTCGCAGTGCGTAACGACGCATGATCAGTAAAGATCACAAAAGGCTTAGAGCCTAGCAGGTGTACCCTGAATTTGACTAGAGCATACTTCATTGCAAGTAGCTCTTTGTCATGAACTGGATAGTTCTTCTCTGCAGCTTTGAGCTGGCGAGACTCAAACGCGATCACGCGTTCACGCCCTTCGGCGTCTGCTTGTAGTAAAGCACAACCGATTGCAAAATCGGAGGCGTCACAGACGACGCTAAACGGACTATCCGGGTCCGGTAGCGCAAGGATCGGAGCCTGGAGAAGGCTCTCCTTCACAGCCTCAAAGGCTCCGTCGTGCTCGACGTTCCAGCACCATGGTGCGTCCTTCTTAAGTAGATCTGATAATGGCCGAGTCATCTCCGCGTAGTTCGCACTGTACTTGTGCAAGTAATTGGCTAAGCCTAGCCACTTGCGTAAGTCTTTTTGGTTCTTGGGAACCGGCCAGTCCACGATGGCCTTGACTTTGGCAGGATCTGCCCGTAAGCCACGCTTCCCAATGAAGCACCCGAGGAAAGGTATCTCCTCCGCGCCAAAGACGCACTTGTCCAAGTTGGCATACAACTTATTAGTGCGCATGCACTCGAGCACCGCTCGCAAGTGGTCAATGTGGTTATCCACGTCTGACTTTCCGTGCTCGGCACGACTATGGACGAATATATCGTCAAAGTACGTTTGAGCGTACGCCCGGTGGGGCCTAAACAGCTGCGTCACAAGACGATTGAACGTTGCTGGTGCGTTCGACAGCCCCTGGGGCATCACCAGCCACTCCCAGAGCATACCGCTCGGAGTACTCACCGCTGTCAGCGGAATGTCGCTCGCTCTCATGAGCAATTGGTAGTAGCCATCGACCAAGTCGAGCGCGCTGTACAGCGTACAGCCTACCATGTTGTTCTGCAGAACATCCTTGCGAGGAATCGGCGTTTGCGCCGGGATAGTGGCCGCATTTAGCTTGTTAAAAGCATGAACAATGCGCTACTTGCCGTTCGGCTTTCTGACACAGAACGTGGGGGTCGAGTGCGGAGACTTACTCTCACGCACCATCCCTGCCTCGTGCTTCGCACGGAAGAATGCGTCAATGACGTCACACTGCTCTCTCGGCAAAGGCCATTGCCTTGTTACGCAGTATTTGGTTCCAGGAACCAGGTCAATCTCATGACACACGCCTCGATCCGGAGGCAGGCCCGTCGGTGGGTCTTTTGAGACAACGTCTCCATACTCCTTCACCACCGGGTAGAAGGGATCCGAAGGATCTTTGAGGATCGCCGATCCACTTCTTGCGCTCAGCGCCTTCTTGGTGTCCTCTAGGACCGCGTCGTCCACGACGGATGAGGAGTTCAACTCCTCCTCAGGTCCCAGCAAGACCACCTCGGCTAGCTCGCCTGCCTTTAAGGCTTCGCCGAACTCGGCAATGGACATCTCGTCCAGCGCTAGCAGAGCATCTGCAGCGGGCAGAGTATCAAGGCTGATATCGCCTTCTACCTCTCTCGTCACTCTGTTCACGAGTGTATACAGCTGTTCACAGCAATCACGTGGAGCATCACCGCTCGTCACGTTGGACACATCGTCCGACGTCGAAGACGTCACAGACGCTCTGCGTCTTCTTCTCCTCTCCCTCCGCGACCGAGCCCGGCCGGATGAGGGCGGTGTGGCGACATCTCCGTCACCACCACCGGGTGCAGCAGCACCATCACTCCTCGAAGAGGATACAGTGTCTCGCAAGACACTCGGCTGAAAGCCAAGAGGTTCTTGACCTTCACACAGTGAACTAGGTGTCACTTCACCTGCATCTCCTGGGCCACGCCCATGATGCCTCGACTCGCAGTCGACCGCGACCCTCGGGTCACGCAGCGGTAGGTCATCGACCAGATTCATACCACTCAGTGGATTACGCGCCACTCCGCGCTCGTCCTCACCAGGACCCAGCAGTTGGTCATTGACCTGACCTGCACCGCTCCGCGGATAACGTGCCGCACCACGTACGCCCTCAGGGCAAACAGCAACCTCGTTGCTAACAATTTCGGACATACCAATGTCCAGCACTACGGCCGCCTCGGCCTCGTGCTCGCGCCAAAAGCGCTTCTGCTTCCTAGCAGAGGTGGGTTCATGACTCACCAAAGCTCCACTAGGAGCAGGGTGCGACGCACCCAGCGTTTTCGACTTCCAGTCGATCCATGGCTCATGACGTTCCAGCCATGCCATGCCAAGGATGAGGTCATACCTCGCATCCAGGTCTAAGACCAAACAGCGTTCCACGCTATCGAAGTTCTCAAACTTCACTCCAAGGTCGACAGAGACCTTCGACACAGTTACCAGTGTCCCCGTCGCGAGACGGGCAGAGATCGTATCTCTCGTTGGCACTTCCAGTGCCTCAGCATACAGCTGACTCCCTTCCAGGGTGGAGCGACGGGCGTAGTTGCCCGAGGCTCCCGAGTCAATCAAGACTCTCCATGGCTTTGCAAAGCCCTTCACGTTCGCTTGAACGACCAACAAGCCCGGCTTGCACACACTCTTCTCGTAAGAGAGCTCAGCTCTCTTCGGGGCTGAGCCCCGTTGTCCTCTACCTCTATGAGGCACAACAGAACTCAGTTCTTCCCCAGTAGGCCGCCCCGCGCCTACTGGGAGTTGCCGTTTCCCGGCGATGACCCGGAGGGTTGGCTCGCCGGAGCCTCGCGCTTCTTGCGCAGAGGGCAATAGGCCCTCAAGTGCTTAGTGCTATTGCACACAAAGCATCGGCGGATGCGGGCGCGCTTGCTCCGCAGCAAGAAGCTCAGCTTCTTCATCTTCAGCATAGCGAAGGTCCATCGGCTCTGGACCGTCTCGAGAGCTGGCGCTACCAGCACTCCAACCAGGTCGCGGCGACCTGAAGTTTGTGCTCGGCATTCAATGCCACATCCACCGCCCTCTTCAAAAGAGTTAAAGTGTACACGGAACCACTTCCGTTCGAGCTGCGCTCACACGAAGTCCCTCCATGAACACGGTCACGCTGACCAGTTCCGGAAGAGGGTCCGCCGCCATTCCGGCGATAAGAGTTCTCAACTCTTGGACATAGTCCAATAAATCCTTCTTACCCTGGCGGGTAGCAAGGAACTTTGACCGGATACGGTACGCCTGATTAGGCGGCGCGAACACGCGCGAAAGCTGTTGCTTCAGCTGATCCCAAGTGGGAAATGCAGCGTCAACAGACGTGCCGCACGTTAGTGCCCATTCGCGAGCGCGACCTCCAAGCCTGGAGATAGCCAGCGCCACGCGCTGATGCTCAGACTGGAGCAGGGCCGATCCCATGGCCATCTCGACCTCACGGGTCCAGAGAAGGAGATTCTCTCCATCCTTCCCCTCGAAGGTTTTTACGCTCACCATGAGCGGTTTCAGTCTCATAGACTCTTCACGCGTCATCGACGCCGCCGCCGTTGCGGCGCTCATCTTCTCTTGGACATGCTCCAAGAGCGCGTTCTCGTAGCGGGAGAACGATTCCAGCCTGGCAGTGACCGCCTCTGGACCTTGCGATGCAAGATGAGCCACGCCCTCCGGGCCAAGCAAGGACATAAGCTTAGTAAGCGCGTCCTGCTGCGCCGGGGGCAAATTCGCGAACACGGGGTGCTCCATCCTCGCAGAGGATATAGTCAACCGACTCAGGAGCGGGATTGACTACAAGTGCTACCAAGTGCAGCGGGGCTGCCGTAGCTTTAGCGTCAGAGGAAGACGTTCGACTCAAAGAGTCACTAATACTAAGTTCCTTATCCAAAGGACACTTACAGCCCAAGACCAGGGCTCAAAGTTAACACCTTAACTTTTATGCTTCAAAACCAGAAGTGTTTTATTTACTATTATTGCGGCCAAGCCGCCTAGGGGTAAATGTATCTCTTTAACTATCTAGCATAGTTAAACCTAATCAAATGCATAACGTGTGGCTTTCAGCCAACGTACTGAGAGACCTTGTTAACTCTCCAACTTATGTACTGAGAGTTTGTTAGCTCTCCGGGTACTTCGTACCCCTGTGTGCTCCACACCATGTAACCCCGTTACAGTTTTCACGTGGGGATCAGTTACGGGGTCTTGCACTAGTTGTGGATCCGGTGAAGAACGAGCAATATGGTGAAAAATTCGACTAGCTGTCGAGCCTGTAATCCGAAACTTTCGCATAAGAAACCAGTCCGGAGTACGTTGTGTCTCCGTTAGCTTCTGAATGCCACATTCGAAAGCTTCAAACAAAACGTCAATATTTGACACACTTTGCGTTTTGGTTGGGGTGCAAACATATGACCAGCGCCCCGGTCCAAAAGCTCGATCTGTAGTATAGCATGTGGCCACTTTACCAAGACCGGATCGATACGCCAGAGCATACGCAGTTCCCGCCGCAGTATCTGTTGCTTTTACAGCAGGAAGTTTTTTTGACGCCCAATACGCTGTTTTTTCACCCTTCTCTGCAATTTCTCGTTGGTCTTTCCAAGCTTTCTTTCCGTAGGTAAACGGAAAGTTACCAGCTCGCTTGTGTGTGCCAACTATTTTACCACCAACGTTATGGATGTGCTGGTTTACTGCAATGGATTGATAACCCCGGTCCAATGCATGAACTATACCAGGGAGTTTAATCCGGCTTTCAGTAGCGGCACCGCATAAAGACCGTTGTAAAAGCTTCACAATGTCTACAGTCTGCTCCCCACGAGTGGCAACATGCCCTCCGAGAAACAGTCCCGTTGTAAGAGAAACAATCCCATGTTGAACGGGTCCATACCTGTATACACCACCGATATAAGCATTGATGAAGACGCAATATATTCACGGCATAATGTGCTTACCCCTTTTTTGGGTTTCGAACATGTGTCAGCCCCACGTCATCAACCAAATGAGACCGAAGGCGAATCATATCATCATCAAGCGAGGCAATTGATGTGCCTTCTACGAATCCGATTTCTCCACACAGCTGTCTAATGAGTCCAGCCACATGAGAAATATCTCTATCAGGACTCATCGGAGCGGTCCATTGCTCTGTCATACCATCACTACGAGCTCTTTGCGCTCCCAACGCATTCAATATTGCCATGTATCGCGTTTGCGGCATCGCGCTTTGTGCCGGGGGAAAGTAATTACGATTGTCTCGGTGGTAGAAGAATGTCGGCGTGACGGCATAGTAGCTCAGCCAAAGCTCCACCTCCACAAACTGCAGCAACTCTTTCACGCACACATGCCACTCCGGCTCCATGCTTCTATATACGACGTTCTTGATTGCAGATAGTATGGATTCACCCATCCACGCACTTACTAGATCACCGACACTAGCTCGCCCAGACGACGACGATCCAAACATGCGCCGTCGAAGACGCGCCAAAACCGCGCCCGCTTCAGTACGAGACTTGATCAGCAGCGTGCGCTCAACATCGTTCACTTGCAGCTGCACTTCGCAGCTCTCCACGTCTCGCCATGTCGTTGCCTCAGTAGCGGTGTTCTCGTCGCTATCAGACGAAGAACTGCTAGATGAGTCGCTCTCAAGCATCTCCTTGTAACGTTAAGGGCCCTGTAGCTGCACTAGCGCGCGCGCCAAGAGTGCGGTTGAAGTTTCCCTTCAGAGTGTCAAAAACGCCTTAAGTACGATTGTTTTTGTCCTTCAAAAGGACAAAATTCCCCAGAAGGCGGCAAACACTGACCAAATTTTGGTCCTTTCTCCAAGGACAAAATATGTTGGGGTTATAGGCTTTGCACCACTGGGCTCTCCAGCCAGCAAATTCACGAATGAGACCCGATGCGAGGGTGAGCGTACTTAATCTGAATACACCGTCATGATCTGATTGGCGAATCCGAGCTGTCTAAAACTTGTCAGAACGGATAAGGGTGTCGGATCGGTTGCGCTATGAAAGCAACTGGAGAAACTAACAAGCACAAATATTACTGGTAGGGATTCGGATCAAAGTTAACGTACAGTTCAAAGGAGACCCGTGTGTGTGTTTTTGATACACGATTTCATCCGTTACAAATGTCAAGTAAACCCACAAATACTTTCAAGTTCGAGTGAATTTTTACGAGTAATCAAACTGCGGAGGTAGAATAAAATCGCCTTTCTAAAACAAAATGGGCTCAATCTGATATTTCCGCTTCGTACTGTAAGCTACGACGCTAAATTCATCAAACTACCCACTAATCGAGGCATAAGCTTAGGGTACGTGAATGTATTGACCCCGTAGGATTTTGGTGCCCGATTAAAGAAATACGGGACCTTCACCCGGTCTTTAAATCGAAAACAACGTTTTGTTTCGACTCTTATGATACCGAAGTGTCTGTCAATCCGTTAGAGCAACATTACTCTTTTAAAGCTTGCTTACTCCAATTTTTGGTGATTATAGTTAGTAACCTTCATCCAGCCCCTACCACCTCCATTTCCTGCCAGCACTGGTCATTCGTTAATGTATCCGAATTAGTACCCCCTTTGACTTGGGGGGGGGGGCACAAAGTATTAGTAGTTCGGGTACTTATTCGGCAAGATCCGCTAGTAGATCAAAGATGAATGCCGTGCTGTAAGTTTTTTTTTCCAGCGACTTCTGGGACTGCGCTAATAAGTTTCGTGACGAAATGCTCAACAGGAAACGCTGTAGTTGCCGCTCGGCTGAAGCTTTAATTGTGTCAGCGCAGTTTTCCTCGTCAATGTGGTGCGAGAGGAAGAGCAAGAAACGAAGCGTGCGTAAAGCCAGGAGATCCCAAGTTGAAGCGGTTGTCAGCAATACGAAGAGAAGAACAAGCCCCGCGAAACCAGTCCACCCCACAATAAATATAATGATACATGTACGCCAAAATGCGAAAACAACACGTGGTTCCTGCTAGATAGACACAAATTATCATTAGAAGAATGGCACATGCATCAACGTCCTATCAAGACTACTGGTTCAGCTGCAGCCAGCCGCTGTCGTCACTGGGGACATGGACGCACGAACTACAGCGCCTCTGAAGCCTTCCCAATCAGTCTCGCGTGACTCCTGAGGAATCTCTTTCGTAATGTACAGCAGGACTCGCGGTGACCACACAGCGAAGGCAACTGGATGGCTCCAAGCGGATTCTTACTGCAACGCATTAAGAAATACTCGAATCCGTGACAGCATTTATAAAGCGGGTGGACATGAGTGAGTAAACTGTTCTCTCCATCAGACAGGATCCACGCGCAGTGTACAGGTGGTCGGATTAAAGTGTTTTGGTGCTGCATGTGCGTGTGACTCTGGCGTAAAGTGTGTCCATTGATATGCTAAAATGACGCCCTCAGAGATATCGGCTGGTACAGTACAGACAATCCCCTCGGTAGTATTCCTAAGACTTGGAACACACCCTCAATAACAATAAAAACAATGCTACCAACAGCATACAAGCTTAAATTAATTCCCCTCTTACCCCTCAGTTGCTAGAAGGAATTCGCATCTATTCCTATTGTAGGGTGCTTAGCTATGACAAAGTCCCACTTGCACAGGACACCAAAAGACCGGGCGTTCCCGGCCATTCTTTCCCTGATCGCCTCCTACAGTATTCCTTGTAGCCATCGACAACATCCAGAAGCATCCGCACAAAAAAAACTTGCCTCCTGACAGCCCTAGAAATAACAACCCGTTCGCGAGATGGTTGCAGCGATGGCGAGTAAACGCATGCAAATAGGTCAAGCTATCAGCAGCTATTGGTACGTATTACCAGGTTTGACAGTCTTTACAGTACTTTTTAGCACCGAGCTAAAGTATCTAGGACCCATTATTTTGGTATTTTTCGCGATAGGAATCTTTTTAAATAGAAATATAATGTCGCTATGACTAACGAGGGGATTGTTTGCAGAGGCCGGTCAATGTCACATGGTCCACCAGTGAAATGCCTCTTTATTTCGATAATTTCAAGCTTGCCAAGTTCCACAATGTGTCGATCTATGTACTACAGACTCCGTCCAGAAAATACAAGGGGTGACCTCACTAAGTTCCGAAAGGATATTAAGCGAGAAAAGGATATGAGATCTTGCAAATCGTTAGTTTCACTCTACTTCTAGCTGAAAAGGCTGAAAACAGAAATCCCAAGTTTGCGAGGGAGTTTACTGTCTGTGCATTTCAGTTTCTAAGCGCAATCTACTTTAACCTTCCAAATCACATATTCTAACTCACCAATGACACGCGCCCATGTTGCGCTTGCCGGTACCCACGACAGACCATGAAGGTGCATGAATCCGACCAGCACCTTTGGAGGCGCTCGGACGACAGACGGGTGCAATGCACATCGTGGCGCTGGCGGCGGTGGCCTTTGTGAAGTGTGGAGGAAGAGCCAGGACTGCGTCCAGCTCAAACCTGAGGCTCAGGTGCCTCCAGGACGCGATGCTCGCGTCCAGAAGCCGGACTTCGACGGACCATTGGCTGGCGAGCCGCCAGCTCCATCCTACTGCTAATCCTACCAATATATGTTACCGGGGTTTTTCCGTGTGCTGCTACACACTCGACAACTTGCGCCGTCAAGAGCAAGCAGCAGCACTCGGTTTTCTCCCCTGCTGGACTTTCAGTCCCTGCAACTTACTGTTGTTACGACTACTTCCTTCATCACAATGGTCACCACTCGGCGTAGCCGAGGAGCGACCATCACTCAGGTTATGAGCCCAAGAAGGAGAGCTGGAAGCCCAGTCCGGAGTACGCAGAGCTCGCGCGCGTCCGACGAGTTGCAGTTGCCTGCAAGAGCAGACGAGACAACGTCAGACGAGACACATGCGACGTCACAAGCGTCATCAACCCGAGTTGAGCAACAACTCGAGCTCTTATTGGCCCAATTCGGTACCGTTATGACTACACTGACAAATCAGCAGCAAGTGCAGAACATTCCAGTGGAAGCATCCACCCGACGCCCACAAAGGCAGCTCATTCAAGAACTCTCAGCGGCTCGAGCACAACCGCAGCGAGTGCCGACGCCGTACGGGCCCCGCCGAGGAAACCCAAGCAAAGAGGAACTTACCGCCGGCGTCAGCACGCGTCAGAGCGAGCCGCCAAGAAACCCAAGAACGTCCGAGGCTGCAGCGCAGCCAGTCCAGACCGAGGCCGGGACCGACTCCGCTACGGACGAACCCATGGTTGGAGACCACAGATGCACGCGGTGCATGAACCAGAGCGGACACGTGCAGTTGAACGCAAGACTTACCGATACCAACTACCAGACGTGGCGCGTCGAGATTCGCTCCATTCTCGACGTCGCACACCTCTTGGACCCCATCATGGAGCGCGAAACGATGGCAGACCAACGTAACGAAGGACAGCGCGGCTGTTTCAAGCAACGACTGCGTGTTGCTCAACGTGAACTTACGATGGGACTTAGTCAAGAGCTACAGATGCGATTTACAAGTGTTATTCAACGTGCTGATCCTATCCTACTGTGGCGAACACTGGAAGATCATTTTGATAACCATCCTGGAGTAAACAGCGTGTTTCTCAAGCGAGATATGCTGAATCGTCGCCTGCAACGTGACGAACGACTTGACGATTACATTCGTGACATCGACGACTACCAACAGAGACTTCGCCGCGCGAACAAGCAGCTGCCTGAGCAGGAAGCCGTCTCTATCCTATTGTCGAATACAGTGGGTGTGTACCCAGCGGTGGTAAACGAGCATGAAGTACGTATTGGACGTGATGAGTCCATTACGTGGGAGCAAGCGATCGAGCGCCTTCGACTCGCTGACCACTCACGCCAAGAGACTGAGCTACAGCAAGGACGTGGTGGAGGTGGACGTGCCGTCCAGCGAGATGTTGCATTTGTTGGTGGCCGTGGCGACGGACACAACGACGGAAGAGAACGTCGAAACTCGAGCAGCAGTCAAGCACGAGGCAACAACAACCGCAACAATCGTCGCAGCCGCAGCTCATCGCCGCGTGGGCGGAACAAGCGGCAGAAGAGCAAGAGCTCATCCAGTGCGAGGGATGACATCGCCAAGCGAAAGGCGAAGACGAAGTGCAACACGTGCGGAGAGCAAGGACATTGGAGTGGCGATCCTGAGTGCCGCCAGCGTGGCAACAATAACAACAACAACAACTCGAGCAACCCGCCGCGCAGGATGATCGATGTGGTTACTGTGAAGACAGCCAAGTCGGCTGCACCGACTCAAGCTGAAGGACAAGAGCATGTACTCGCGGTGCGTGACAACTTCAACTACAAGGACAAGGACAAGGACCAGGACATGGTGGAGTGGGTGTTGGATAGCGGCGCGCAGACCAACGTCTCGAGCGACCTTACCTTGTTTACGGAGCTACACGAAGACTCAGTTGCAGAGCTAGTCTTCGGCAACGGCACAACCGAGCGCGCAACTGTGGGCACAGTGCTTATGCAAGTGCTGAACGAGCACACGGGCAAGATCGAGGAGCGCCTCCTTGATGACGTGAGCTACGCCAAGTCGGCTGCCTACAACCTGATCTCGCAGACCTACATGCAATTCAAAGGAAACTTCAAGGTGCGCATCTCGCATGATCAGAAGACTACGTGGCTGGTCAAGGACACATTGAAGCTGCGCTTCAAGTACATCCGCGGGATGTACCGCATGTGGACGCCACGTCAGAGCAAGAACGTGATGAGCGTCAAGGCCAGTGAAGCTGAGAACCCCATGACGTTGCTGCACAACCGCATGGGCCACGTAAACATGGAGACTATCAAGACTATGGCAGGAACCTATAACTTTGGCATCAACATGCAGTCGAAGAATTTTGCTCTCTATGAATGCATTCCATGCTTAGAGTCAAAGACGAAGCGCATGAGCTACAAGCGCAAGCCGTCTCGCTCTGCAAAGCCCTTGCACAAGCTTTGTGTCGACCTATGCAGTGTTGGAGTGGATACAATATCGAAATCAAACCAGTTTCTATTGATTATCGACGAAGCTACGAGATACAAGTGGGGATATCTATTAGCCTACAAAGACGAAGCCACGGAGCTGATTCAGAAGCAGATTCGCTGGATCCAGAACCAGTTCCCGAAGGCGACCATCAAGACGCTGTTCTCCGATGGTGGTGGCGAGTTCGTCAACATGCAGCTCGAGACCTTCTGCAAGGACCTCGGCATCGACACGCGTTCATCCAATCCCTACAGCCCGCAGGAGAACGCTATCGTGGAGCGCACGAACCAGACCGTCATGCGGCAGGTCAGATCTATGTTACAAGCTACGCAAATGCCTGTTTCATTATGGGGAGAAGCCTTCCTACATGCAATTGAGACGCTCAACAAGACGCCGACGCCGGTGTTGAAGGACCAGCAGTCCCCGTACGAGGCCCTGTACGGAGAGCGGCCAGACCTCAGCGTGCTGCGCACGTGGGGGTGCTTGGTGCACGCGCACATCCCTGATGATTCTCGGCAGAGAAAGGAGAAGCTCACTCCAAGGACGCAGATGTGCTTACTACTTGGCTACAGCGAGAAGACCAAGGGCTATAAGCTGCTGAACCTGCGCACAGGATCAGTGACGACGTGCAGAGATGGAAACATGAAGGCACATGAGAAGTACACGGTAAACACTGTGTATATTGAGCAACTTCTTGCAAACACCTACGCTTACGGAGACTACGACTTACCTGCGGAGATCCCGATCGTGCCGATCCGGACGACAATGTCTACGTACCTGCAGCTTCCTGCAGAGCTTGCAGAAAAGCGAGCAGCGGAAATGGCGAAGCTGGCTACTGCTGGTAAGAGCCAGGACCAAGGTGTTGAAGTTGAAGCCGAGTCTGCGACTCGAAGTGATGACCCACAGCTACCAAGCGAGGACGCTAAGAAGCCAGCAGCTTCAGTGGGAGGTTCCAAGCGGAAGAACACAAAAGGCAAGAATAAAGCGAAAGCATGTGCAAATCGAGTGGGAGCCTCGAAGGCCAAGGACAGTCGACGTGATGCTCACGAAGACGAGAACTGGGAGCCATGCACGACGCAGAAGTCGTCGCCAGACGACAGTGCAGCTACGTCGCGACCGAAGCGGAAGCGACAACCATCCGCCCGACTCAAGGACTACGTAGTGACGAATGTGACGAAGCAGAACGTCGAGGATGTGCAGATCCCCATTAGTCACAAGCATGCGGCAAGGTCAAAGAAGTGGAAGGAGTGGAAAGCAGCGATGCAAGTTGAGATGGACTCACAGCAACAGCACGAAACTTGGGTGCTCGTGCGACGCACGGAGGCCAAGGGCAAGCGTGTCATTTCGTGCAAGTGGGTGTACGCGCTCAAGAGAGACTCTACGGGCCGGATTAAGCGATATAAAGCTCGACTAGTGATCAGAGGCTTTCTACAACGCATGGGCATCGACTACAGTGAAACATACGCACCTGTTATCAGATTTGAGACGATCAGATGCGTGATCGTATACGCGCTGCAACGCGGATGGGCCATCTTGCAGTTCGACGTCAAGACCGCGTTCTTGTACGGTGACCTCGACGAGGAGGTCTACATGGAGCAGCCTCCAGGCTTCGGAGAAGACTCTACGCGCTATGTATGCAAGCTACAGAAGAGTTTGTATGGGCTAAAGCAAGCGCCTCGCGTTTGGAACAAGACATTGCACAAGTTCCTGACGAAGATCGGACTCGAGCGCCTCGACTCTGACTACGGACTCTACGCCAGGAAAGTGGGAGGAGAAGTCACCATGTTGCTCACGGTGTACGTCGACGACCTACTGCTCCTCGGCCCTAATGACCTTTGCGCTAAGGTTGCTATGCAACTCAGTGAGGAGTATGAACTCACATCTCTCGGACCAGTCAAGTATCTACTAGGCGTGGAGATACTGATCGACAGCGAGCGTCGACATGCGGTATTTTGCCAGCGGCAACACATTACGGAGGTGCTAAAGCGATTTCACATGGAGGGGTGCAACGCGGTTGCAACACCGGAAGCGCTGCGCGCTGAGGTGGTCACAGATGCGAAAGATGACTCCCCGCCCCCGTACCGAGAGCTCGTTGGTGCACTACAATATCTGGTCTCAGCCTCAAGGCCGGACATTGCGCACGCTGTGCGTAATCTCAGCAAGTACCTGTCCTGCTTCGACCACACACACTACGCTATGGGAAAGAGGGTGCTACGCTACCTGAGTGGTACTCAAGACCACGGCTTAGTGATGGACATTGTTATTGGGAACGACGTCAAGCTGACGTGTTACACCGATGCTGACTACGCTAATGACCCTGATGACCGAAAGAGTGTTAGCGGGTTCGTGACGTTCGTCAATGGTAACGTGGTTTCGTACGGATCAAGAAAGCAAGAGATTAACGCACAGAGCACAACGGAAGCAGAGTATATTGCCATGAATGAAGGCACTAGAGATCTACAGTGGCTACGTGGACTCTGTGAAGAACTATGCTGGGAGTTCGCGACTCCGGAGATTATCGGCGATAACAAGTCGTGCATCTATCTGACTGCCAAGCCTGGCAAGCACAGCAAGAACAAGCACATTATGAACAAGTTCCACTTGGTGCGCCACCTCGTGCAGACGAGCAGCTACGGATTCGCATGTTGCACGACGACATGATCGCGACGCGATGACGAGCATTGCGAGGACAAGTTCGAACATGCGTGATGGATGAGTGCTGCGCATCGACGTCAGCAGCTCAGCTCGTCAGTGGGAGCAACATCATCGCATG